CAGCGATTCACAATCTCGATAAATTCACACACTAGCTCGAAACAGAATCCTAGCTTACCCGGAACTCTCTTCATTCATTTTTTTTCAGGCTTTCTCTGCCAGGCCTATATACTAAGAAGGGGGCGTCTCGAATACACTCGGGCCTCCCCGATCATTCGAGAAATTCATCACGTGACTTCTGCTGTCGTAACAGTATTCTTTGCTTTCAACTATTGGATGGCCAGTTAGGTGGGTAGCGCCTACGCGCTGAAAGGGATGATATTATTGTTTAGGCATGTTACGACAGCGGAAGTCACGTGACATTGCTGGTGCGTTGGCGCTAGTGGCGTGCGTGATGAGATTCTCGAATGATCGGGAAGTCCGAGTGTGTTCGAGATGCCCTCTTCGTTTTTATATAAGCCTGGCAGCGAAAGCCAGCATGAATGAATGAAGAGAGAGCAGTAGTTACTTTGAGTTCCGTACATTTTATGATTCTGTTAGTTTTGAGCTAGTGAGCCGTAAAGTGTGTGTTTTGCACTCGTCGAGAGCGAAATTATCGAGATTGTGAATCGCTGTGATTTATAGCGTGTATTATAAAAGCTGTTAAGTTTAAAGTGACGAGAAACGTAATGATTGTGGAACTTCTGTGTACTAAAAGTTTGTATCGAGGAGGAATAAACTGGTTTAATCAAGAAAGGACTTGTATCACTGAAGATCCTCGGAAAACAAACAAACAAGCAGATACGTAACAGGTACATAAAATTATACTCTCCCAGTTCTCAGTCTGCATACAGAATTCCCCAAGTAATATTTCTCGAGAATAAGAGAGAGTAGGTGTTCGTCTCTTTTGTACACTCTTCTTTGACTTGTTTTGTAACTAAATAAAGATGCATTTTCACTTTATTTTACGCTATGTTTAGTCTCCTTTGTTTATCAGTTCAGTCAGAAATTCCATCAGTTATAATTCTGCATTACCTTTTCTTCTGTATCTGCCATTATTACGCTACAACTCTTACCTTGGAAATTCTTCGTAAATACTAAGCATAATAACAAAAGATAACACTGTTGAATTTTTAACTAACAGAGTTAAATATAAAGTAAAATACCAGGGATACATATCAGTATTTTCTATCAACAGAAGACATATATATGTCAGAAAATACTAGAAATATTTGTATTGTTGCTTAACCAGGAGCCCCCCAGTGGCACGGCGGCATGTCTGAGGACTTAAAGCGCTAGCAACCGAGTTTCGATACCCGTGATGAGCACAGCACATATAGTCCACTGTGTAGCTTTGTGCTTAACTACAAACAAACTTACCGGGGATATATTTACAAAATTTTGAGGTAAAGAAATTATACACATATAACATTTATCTTCAAAAGAGGGCGTTAAGTTCTAGTCACTCAGAAGTAATATTATCATTCAAAGTAGATGTATAATGTATTTGTAGGAGTAGCATAATTGTGCAACATTCTGCTGTTGTTGATTGCTGTAATTAATGTAAATCATGTTGTTCATTTAATATTTGATTAATATGTATGTCCTTATTTTGCCCAAGAGTGTCATTTTAGGGCGGTTGAATAACTAGGCATTTAATGATTTATAGTATTACTAATACTAATATTATAAAGTTGGTACTTAAAGTCTTAAGTTAAACTAGTTAGTTAACCCAAAATTGGCATAAATTTATTTAATATTATAAAGACTAAAGTTTTAAGTTACCACTGACACTACATCAACTGTTATGTGTTAATCGTACCGTTACAAGTTACCGTAACACATAATAGTGTTAAGACTTTTAAGTTTTATCAAATTTGGTAATTTTACAGCAACCTACAGTTTTGTTCTTGACTTTCACTTTCTAGTAGATTAAATTTATAGCAATGTTAGCTTCCATTGTCGAATACATTAACTCGAAGGTTTTTTGTAATTCGTCTGAGTCGGAAAATGAAATGCCAGAAAATGATGTTGACACTGACAATGAAGAGAAAAGGCAGAGAGTTAGTCGAAAAGTAGAAGATTTTGAAACAGGTAGGGTTTATTTTCAACTTTAATAATGTAAAGAACATAATATCAAGTAAAGTGTTACTGTTAGGATAACAGTTTAATGTGATGTGTTTGAATTAATTTGTGCACCTTGACTCTTAAGTTATGATAATAACATTTACTGGTGATCAAAACTTCAAAAGATAGCATAGGATGAAAGTAAATATGTGAATTTTACTATTTTTAACTACTACGCAGAGTACTTGTTATAAAAATTTAAGTAACCTAATTTTCTAAAATAATTAACTCAATAAGATCAGTTAGTAACCTGATTGCTATAAATGAGTCTTGTTTGATTTAAAGGAGAGGCAAATGGAAAAATTACATCTAAAGCAGTGACAGAAAAAGTGGGTACAGTTTCTTCTGAAGTTTTCACATCACCCAAATGGGTAAGGTAAGTGAAATGACTGACAAGGTAACTAAAGCCACAATGTTTTCACAAGACTAAAAAATGTCATAAAAGTGGGTATAACATATGGAAAATAAAGGACCATTTGGCCCTTCAAGGTTGTTTTTGTGCACATACCCTGGACAAAAAGGAAAGAATAAGTTCAAGTTTTAAACCCACCATTTAAACTCTCAAGGTGCTGGCCTTGACTACTGCCTATGGCAACTCCTTGTATAAGCTAATCACCCTGTTAGAAAAATAAAACTGTCTTAACAGTTAACTGGAGCCTAGCCTGTCTTTTGTAAATCTTAAACTTGTGTTCTTTTTAGTAATTTTGTTAGTTACTAGTTATGAAACATGTTAGTTCACCTGTCATTCACTATTGCTTGTGAGGAAGCAAGACTTGTTTCTTAATTCCCACTTTCATCACTTTTAAACTTTTTTTTACATCATGAAGCTTACAATCTTTGGAAATGGTATTGTTTCTTTATGAGTGGAAAATTTAAATTCATAATGAGTTACTTGATAAATGACTAATGTGGAAGAGACTGTGGTGTTATTAATTGTAGCAATAAACCCTAAAAGTTAGACTTGTTATATTAATGAATGAATCCATTGTCTTCAAGTTACAGCTTAAAGAAATCAGAAAATTTTATCCAAATAATTTCCTGGATAACCTTTTAAGTCTCAATCGTATCACCTCCTAACCTTCTTTTTTTGAGTGAAAATAATTTAATAGATCTTAACCTATCCTTACAAGACAGCTCTTCTGTTCCCAGAAGTATCCCAGTGGCACAGCAGTATGTCTGCGGACTTACATCGACAGAAACCGGGTTTCGATACTCGTAGTGGGCAGAGCACAGATAGCCCATTGTGCAGTTTTGTGCTTAATTACAACCAACCATCTGTTCCCAGAAGTATTCTTGTAGTTTCTTTAGAATCCTTTCTGATAAATCAAATTAATTTTTTAGATAAAGAGATCAAAACCATACGCAATATTACAAATGATGACTAATGTGATTAGTATATACAGAGAATTATCTTGTTTGATTTGTAATCAATATGTTATAAACACAATTTAATTGTTTATGCCACTTGAAACACCAGCACATCATCATCATCTCTCTTGTGCCTTGGTAGTTATAATGATAAAATCCTGATGAAGTCATAAGGAAAAATATTGAGCAGTAAAGAAAGTTTTTTTAATGGAGTTGTTGTGAAGTAATGACAGAATATGCTCCATAGAATACTCTAGTTAGCATTTCAGAGAATCAAGAATACAAATACTACAAATATATTAAATTTCACAGATTTCAAGGGTATTTTCAGTATCACAATTTATGTTGTACACTGGAGGGTGAAAACATGGGACTGGGAAAATTCCATCACAAAAGAAATCAGTCAACACTTATGCAAACTTTTTTTGTTCCTAGGAAATGAACAGAGGATCCATATTTTCTTTTTAAAAGACTTATTTCGTAAATTGTTGATCAGTATTTTGTCCTAGTGAAAACTGGCTTGTACAAGTTGTTTCCATATTTTGTGAAATGACCATTTTGTATGTCAACTGGTCTGTAATTTTGATTATTGGAACATAAGTTACGGTGGCAAAAGTTCAATGTTTATTGATCATTGTGGCAGTAAATTATGTGAATATTTAGAGCCCTAAATTGGCCTACAAGTACCAGAGAGCACATAGGCCCCTGCTTGATTCTTAGGTTAGCCCCAAGATTTTATCAAGTTTATGAGCTGGGATCTAGGACTAGCTAAAATTTCATTTGCTGTTGTCACCCTGATTAATAATTTGTTATCGAATAGTTTTCAAGTTAGATGTATTGTAATTAAACATATTGATAAATACATCAATATTTAGGCAAGAAAAGCATACTTTTAGATGCTCACAAATAATTTGATATATATATGTGTGTGTGTGTGTGTGTGTGCCTAATTTCTCCTATTAGTGGATCCTTAGAAAAATTTTATAAATTACTAGAGCATTTTTTTCTTCTGGATCAGAAGATTTCAATATTAGTAAGATAACATTCACAGATTGTGTAAGAATAAAACATAAATACATTGTAGTTCATTGTGTTAATAGCTTAAGTAGATTTAATAACGTTTCATTGCTGTTTTTATTTAGTTCACATACATTTCCTTTAGAACAAGTCTACCAGTTCCTATGATCCCAAGAGCAGAAATCAGTGTGTGGAGCATATTGAAACAATGTATAGGAAAGGTAAGCCTTTTGGATTATTCAACAAAAATTTTTTTTTTCAGTAGCATATTATTTTGTGGATTATTCTTTGTAATTGTGGTCTGAGTCCAACCAGTACATTGTGGCTTTCATTGTTGGTATATTGGTTTGATTTACAGAACCACAGGTCAATCTCTGAACAGAAAATGTTAGTGATTGAAAATTGCATTGAATATTTTAATAGCTTGTAGCATGAAGCTGATGAAGTGCATTGGTGTTAAAAAAATCAGTCTGAAAAAAAGGTGATGATTGTATATACGTTCAATTAGTGAACTAGCCAATGTTAAGATATGGTTTAGGCTTACCAGTTTGGCAATTATTATGAAATTGCTTATATTTTCATGTACAGTTTGAGGAAATTAGAGCAAAAGTAACCATAGCTGGGAACATTATTCTTTTAGATAGATTATTTTAATACCTTAAAAAAACAGAATTGTTAGTTTTGTTCAGTGCAAAAATTTATAAATGTGCAAATATGAGTTGATTCAAATACATATATTGCTCAATAAAGATTTTATATTTGAAGCGTATGTCAGTCCTGAAACAAACCACATTAAAGTCTCGTACCTCAAATGAATTAAAACATTTAATTTATTTGACAGCATGCATTCCTTAAGCTTATAACTAAGCACTGTTTGGTTCATTGAACTGACCCTAGTATCTTGAAGCTATACTTATACTAGAACTCAAATTTAGTGCATCTACACAAAATTTAGCAAGTTTTTAGTAAACATTACAAGTCTGTTGGACAAAAAAATAATCATGTTTTTTAATAAAGTATTTTTACTTAAGATTTGTCTGTGAATTTATAAAGCCTTTATTGGGTCAGTCTGAGTGAAAGATGATTTTCATGTTAAGAATTAAAATACTTATTTTTATCATGCAGTTTTCATATTCCATTTACATAACCTCTAGAACCTCCTAAATTAATATCAAAGGTTTTTTGGTAAGACTTAAACATAATATTTTACCTTATTTTCTCTACCTTAACACTAACTTTAGTGAAATCATCAGTATACAGTAAAATGAAAAGTTGAAAAATATGAATTCATAATTGACTTAATATTTTCAAGTTAATTATCTTCATAATTTCCATAGTTAACCTTTTCGCATCTGTTTTGTTTTAATTCTGTGGTTCTGTTGTCTAAATTTGTACCACAGGAGTATTTTATCACTCTGTTAAAAATACAAAACTCACAGTAGGAGCCCATTAGCTGTTTCTCATTGTACAGGAATTTTGCATTTGCTGACATAATTGCGCTAGACATTATGTTTTTCTCACCAAGTTGGTTGTCAAAGAAAACATTCATGTAGCTTTCAAGTATGAATTCTTTAGCACAAAATTTATCCTTCACTAGAATAGGAAGTTACAATACTACTGTAATTTTTCTGGCTTTTTGAGTAATCTATAAATAAGTTAAAAATCTAACATATTATTGGTACAATAAACACATTTGTGGGAAAAAATTCCCAAACACAAAAAAGTGAATAAAATTAGAAATAAAAAGCTGAAGAAGGCTAGAAAAGAAATAGTAGAGTAGTTACAAAGCTACATTACTTGAATGATATGAATATTTTCCAGTTGTATGTATATGTAGTGTATGATTTAGTCATGTATACAGTATTCCTTGACTGTTGCATATGTGTCTAAATCATGGATGTTGCTTGACTGGCATTATAAATACTAAACATTACTAAATAATAGATACTCGCTGTTGCAAAAAAATGACATGTTTGAACCCGCTACTGATTTGTATAGAAATATTGTATATTGATATTAACTTCTCATCAGAGTAAGCTATCTACTTAAAGAAAAACTGAAGTAAGTATATTTATGTTAATACTTATTTAACAGATTTGAATGCATTTTTTAATCAGTTGAGTACTCATGCTGTTAGTTTTTGGCCATAATCCCATAAGTAAAATAGAATTAGAATTAATTATCCCTTACATATAACATTATGCATGACTCATTACAAAGTGTTTTTTGTTTATTATAGGAAGTTCGAAATGCTTACGCTGAAAAGCTTATAAATTATGCTATATTAAAAATAATGGCAAGAAGAAAAAAATGACAATACTCTATAGAGATAATGCTTAGAGGGTTAATATCTACTGTTATGGTTCTAACATTGTACTTAGTTCCAAGTTGTATGTCTTTCTAATGTACCATAAATACTCCCCTTTTTTTTAATAGTTCATTAAAATGTTTTGGACAAGTGTAGCTTTGTATATTTAAGTTAACCTTTTACTTATGAACCAGATAAATTATCAGGACATAGTACATTTTAGTGTCAGGTCACGTAGTTTTGCTAGACATCAAACATTCTAGACTGCTACAGCAAATGTAATGAATAATTAAATAACAGACATTTTACGTAAAAGGAATTATTTAAAAATATTAAATATATTTAATCCCTAACAAGAAGAACAATCTGATATAACTTTTAGATTTAGGTACACAACAATACTTTTTATAGGCAGCTGTATCATTTTAAAAACTTTTTAATTGTACAGGAAGAGCTAGAAACTATTCAATATCAATAGATAATTGTTCTAATTTATAAAACTATCCAATGAGAAAGATTGAAAAAAAAAATTTAAATTTAAAATTGGAGAAGAATCTGCATGTAATTTTAATGTTTATAGTTTTTATTAAATTTATAATTAGTTGTTAATAAATAAAAAGTAACCTTGCTGTAGATGTGACTTTGCACTACTTAACTTTCTGTGCACAGGCTCAGTCATTTTGACTGACTTTGTAACCACTACATAACCATGAAACTATACATACTATAACTTTTAATGTAGTGTCTTTTAAATTTTGGTAAGCTTTTACTTCACATTATAAGGATGTTTTATTTAAAAAAAAATTTTTTTTGATAAAGTATTCCTGCTAAAGACTTTAAACCTTTACTGAGTCAGTCCAAGTGCAAGGTTATTTTCATGTTAATATTAAAAATACTTTTTTTCATGTTACAGTTTCTGAATTTCATTTGCATAACTTATAGAACATCCTAAAACTGTTATTTTTTCTAACCCAACACTAACTTATTCACCTTGGTCAATTTGACCTTGTAAACTCTACATAACACAGAAAATATGAAATAATTCTAAATTAAATTTTTTTTCTAGAATATCTGCACATTATAAACGACAACCTGAGGTACTCATCCTTTGTCTGGGTGGATGCTATGTTAAATTACACAAAAATCCTTACTTTTGTACAATTTATGTGTAACATAACATATTATTACAGTATTCATTATTACCTCACCAGAAGTTTTGTATAGGCTTTAAGAACACAATATATAAATACTTAAAACATGGTATACAATGTGTGATGGTCAGGGTGTCTTTGCAAGAAGAAGTAGTGAGCAAAGTAGTGGTGGTATGGGTGCTTTCTGTTGCCCGCTTTCAACTCCCAACCAACTCTTAATGTCCTTCCACAGTGTTTTACATGATTAATTAATAAGTGGTCATTGGCCGCAAAAGGATTTTACGGGCTGGAGTTGAAAGTTCACGGGTCAAAGTAGGAAGTTGGTATAACTCAAAAATGGCTTTTCATGTCAGCCTTATGGTGGCTGTTGGAGTATAAGCTTCAGCATAGTTTATGTATTATTGCAATAGTGGCAACCTTTTTTTTTATTGCATTCTTCCATAGAGAGTGCTAGTGCACTCTCTGAGATATGTAAGATGTTTGTGTGCCTTCCCCCACACTCTGTGTGTGTGTGTGTTGTTGTTTTATTGAAAATGTAATAATTTTTTTTGTGTGAGGATGTAGCTCCATCTATGTCAAAGATAATTAATGCTCAATAACAGCACAAATGATGGAGGGGGTTGTGAACCACCATTAACATGCACCTTGTTCCAAACTATCATCTCCCAAAGTTTGGTTGAGATTGGCCCAGCAATGTAGGAGTAGTTAGATAACAGGAAACAGACAGACACACACACAGATTTTTTTGTGCTTTATATATAGAGGTAATTACAAACTTTATTTTTTATAGCCAAAGCTAATAGATTTTTTCATTAAGTTTTATTTTCTTATGGTTCCATTTAGACCATTTCAGAGTATAGCAATAGCTTTTTTATTATGCTGGACAGCTTTGTGTAAACGAACAATTGTATTATCAGCATGCACACTTGAATTGCACAAGCATGCCTTGTGCCACTAGGCATGTAGTACGGAGTATTTTGTTCATTTAATTTCGTTTAAGCATTCTTGTCTAAGCTAATAGCCCATTGTGTAGCTTTGTGCTTAATTACAAACAAACTAAGCTAATAAGTTTCTAATTTTTGTATTTTAGTTAATTTTATAACAATGAATAAAAACATATACATAAAAATCAAGAAATTTAGTACTTGCATATGAATTTTTCTTTTTTTTTCAAGCTGCTTCTTGCATTTATTCCCATTGTGGTATGATAGAAGTCATACCAACCTCTAGGCAAAACTTTTAGTAAAAATAGGATGGTCTCAGGAAGTTAAAAAATTCAAATATGCAGTTTAGAATACAAAATATTTCCATGAATATAAAATAGAACATCCTAAAATTAATCTAATCTTCCTGGTGTTCCAAATAAGCATTCTGTTTATTGCCCGTATCTCTGTATAGCAAAAACTTCATTGCTACAAGTTGACTGGTTAGCTTGTGGATACTTATAATATAATTGTGAAATTCCACAGAAAGGTGGAAGTTATATAAGGGTAGAAGAAAATCTAGAATGGGCCATTTGGATTTAAAAAAAGTGTCCAGTGATACAAAGAAGAGAAGATTGAGAAGTTATTTAAATATTACCTTTTGAAACTAAGTCCTTAAAACTTATATACTTTACTATCAGTTCTTAAGCTTACGCTGTTTCTGTCTCATTGTGGAGTGCCTTGTATCTCTGGGATGTTACAATACTTAGTTGGTATATCATTTCCATTCACATGAAATCAAACGTTGGGAAGGATATGTGTTAAATATCACATACTTCATGGTTGTTACAAGATTAATTTACAGTGTTTAATTATAAATATTTCTGAATTGTTTTGAAAATATTGTGCTTGAATAAATAGTGGATATTTGTGTGATTGTCACAGGAGCTGTCCAAGATCACCATGCCTGTGGTGTTCAACGAACCTCTAAGTTTTTTGCAACGGCTGACCGAGTATATGGAATATAGTATTTTACTGAAGCAAGCAGATGAGTGTGATAACCCAGTGGACAGGATAGAAGTAAGCATCATAAACAGTTGACTTTTCCTATATTCTAGATGGTTTATTACCAAACTCAATACACAAATATGGGATGTCTTTTTGTGTGAAATATACGATGTTCTTCAACTGCTGGTGTACATTCAACTTCTACAAGTAAACACTATTACGGTTTTTGTGAGTTTGCCTTATGTAATGATCATGTTCCATACCTAAACTCCTTGATATTGCTAGATTTCTTAATATAATACCCAAACTTCAAACCTACAGAATAACTGTATATTGTTTTACAAATAGGCCTCGTATGATGCCAAATTAGCATGACCAGAACAATCTGACTTGTATTTTTCTTTGAGCTCCATAACTATAACACATATATATATAATTTGACTAGCATTATTGTTTGCTTGTAATTAGCAGTAATGTAAGTTGCTGTTTTGGTAAGAGTTCCATATGGCACCCCCACTCAATTTAAAAAAAAATTCATCAAAGTAATATTTATGTATTAATAAATCATATTAATAGTATGATCTGATAATTTTAATACATTATTATACCACTTACTTCATTAATTAGATGTACAATCTTCTTGGGAATAAACTTTACAAATGTCTTGTATAAAGGCATCAAAAAGGCTACTTTTATCAGAATATAATTCTACAATTTTTGGGTGGGGGTGCCATATGGAACTCTTTCCGCTAATTTTATCTTTTCATTGTGTAATTTTTATCAGATACTTTACTTTTCCACCTTTGTATTCATCATGATCATCTAAAATTGTGATATCGAAGTATATTGATTGTTATTTTTATTGATTGCCCTTCAGCTGAGACATTGGACTTTGTACATGTTTGGTAACTATTATGTTCAAGTTCTGCACAATGTAATCTACAAAAGTGTCATATTTTCCCCTAATTTTATCTGTTCTTAATCTATCACAGGATTTTTTTTACAATTAAAAAAACTATTGAATCTAGATAGGCTGTTTGATAGTTTCTATTTTATCTCATTTATGCAGTTTTATTTTCAGTTCTAACAGTTTTAATAATTGTTGCTCCTCCAGTTGCAGAAAAGAGTAAAACTAAAGTTACTATCATTAGAAATGTTTCATAATTATCGTTATATGTAGTGAATACTTCTTTTTTTTTTTACTTAATTGTATTTTTCATTGATGTAAAACAATAATTTTTTTTCAAGAAAATAATAACAACCACTCATTATTGTAATTATCTTCAATATCTTGCTAAACAAAGGACATGAAACAACACTGATAAATATCTTATTAAATTATGCAATGTTCAATCATCTCTATCTAAAACAGCCAAAACCAAGATTACCCACAAATTTAACTTAATATTTACTTGTAAAATGATATCTTGTCCCAACCATAATTTTAACTGTTTTATTACCTGTGAGAACTGAATTTAGATACAGTCATGTTTCAGGTTAACAACTTACTAGAGACAACCAGGTCTTGATTATCCACAATCCAGTTTAACTGTTTTATTACCTGTGAGAACTGAGTTTAGATGCAGTCATGTTTCAGGTTAACAACTTACTAGAGACAACCAGGTCTTGATTATCCACAATCCAGTTTAACTGTTTTATTACCTGTGAGAACTGAGTTTAGATGCAGTCATGTTTCAGGTTAACAACTTACTAGAGACAACCAGGTCTTGATTATCCACAATCCAGTTTAACTATTCTAAACTCAGTTCTCACAGGTAATT